TTAAAAGAGTCTGTAAACAGATTCATTTAATTTAATGCTTTTTCTACTTTCCAGTTTCCTCTCTTCATGCAGCAATTTTTTTTGCTGATGTTTAATCATCACTTTAGCATTTTTAGCTGTACTTTATAAATGACTAGATAAAGCATTTTCATCCCACGGAAGAAAAAGCACTTAACCCTTGCTGCTGAGTTAGCACTTATTAACTAGATCATGCTAGACCTCTATATACTGGAAAGGATATTCTTTAATGTTGACTTTAAATTGTTGTGTGGTAAATGACCTTGGTGATATAAAGTATACACCCAGATGTCATAAAGTATAAAAGCTCACAGGCAGAACCAACTCAAATATTGTAATTATGTGGCTTATTAAATCAATTAAAAGTGTCTGAGCGAAAGCAAGGGAAAGAAATGCAGTAGTTAGAACATTTAGGATAAGATGCAAGCTGGGAGAAGGACTACACCACTGGACTGTGGGGTAATGTATGGTACATATATTCAGTCTCTCTCTCCCATCCCAGTCCATTGTGACAGTCTTAGTCCTTTTTATGTACATTCAGCACAGTTACATTCTATGTATTCTACATTTAACACGTTTTACGTGTTGCTAACTTGCCATCTATATTTAACATTTCTCATGAGCTTTATCCATTCTACTTGGTTTTCTTTAGCAGAATTTAATATTCTCAAGTATTATAGCAAATACAGATTACGTGGTTGAATAAGGAAATACAATATTTACCATAGGTTTTCATTGGTTCTTCTTTCATCTCCAGTAAATGGGGTGCTACAAATTGGTGACATATCATTATTTTCATTGACAACCTTATGTTTTTAAAAAAGATTTATTTATTTTTATTTATTTTATATTTTAAAGATTTATTTATTTTTGTTGGAAAGGCAGATATACAGACAGATAGGAGGAGAGACAGAAAAGAAGATATTCCTCCGATGATTCACTCTTGAAGCAGCTGCAATGGCTGGTGCTGTGCGAATCAGAAGCCAAGAGTCAGGAGCCTCTTCCAGGTCTCCCATGCAGGTGCAGGGTCCCAAGGCTTTGGGCCATCCTCAACTGCTTTTCCAGGGCATAAGCCGGAGCTGGGTTGGAAGCGGGGCTATTAGGATTAGAACCGGTGCCCATATGGATCCCAGCGCATGGAAGGTGAGGACTTTAGCTGCTAGGCTACCATGTCAGGCCTGACAACTTTGTTTTATGTTGCTTTAGAAACTCAACAGAGGAGGAACATCATAGTATCTGAATGTTTTATGAATAGGGAATACCGATAGTACTCTTTTGTTATATGGCTAGGAGCAGGATAAAGTGATAAACAGAAATGAAATATTAGGCTTAACAAAGAACTTGGAGATCATGGAATTCCATCCTCTGAATTTTCAGATGTGGATTGTGAGATTCAGAGAGGTGAGGCATGTCATCCAAGAACACACGGCTAGTCATGTGAAAAACCCAGGGTGGTCCCAGGCTCTCGAAATGTGGTGCAGTGTTCTTGCCTCTGTATTGTAGGAAGTGGGGTTATTTTCTTTTGTTCTATTAGAAGATGAATTATGGTAAATATTTACTTGAAAAGGCTTTTCTGAAAATGAGAATGCTCATAAAGCCTCAATATATCAAAATAGATGTTTCTTGAATTTCATTCTGGTGAGTGCTAATAGCGTCGGTTTCCTTTAATGTGTCAATCACTTATAAAGAGAAATGAGAAAAGCGAGCATGATAAGTGTTTTCTTTTCCAGTAGGGCTGTGTGAGCAAAAGTATTGTAGGGTGCAACCAGATTTTACGTAGGGTGTCCCATGAACAGGGGAGATTGAAATGCTGCCAAACATTGTTTTCTTTGATAGCCACTGGCATTTGAGACAGACTCATTTATCTCTTGTTTTTTTTTCCAAAGAAAAATGTCACATTATTTTTCTAACTAATGTAGGTGGCTACTTAAAGTAACACTATAAATGAGAAAAATAAATGAAAAATAAAATACTAAACGCAATAATTATCTTCATGTGATGGCGACTTTGTTGCAGGCATTAAGAACTGCAGATAAAGCAGTGAATAAAAAGAATCCCTTCCTTCATAAAGCATGTAGTCTAGAGGGAAAAAAAGAATATAATGTGAAGCAAGAACAGGGAAACAAGAATGTGATAGGTGATATGAGGAAACAATAAGCTGACAACAGTACATGATGAGAAAAGCTATATAGGGAAAATATCCATCTGGAATGTTGGAGAGAAATTAACACAGTGTGTTGGAGAGAGTAGCATTCATAGTGAGCATTAAAGGTATAGGAGCTGGGCACTAGAGGGACATTGTATTCAGAAAAGAATCCAGAGATGGAGGCAGGAGTGAGCTTGATGTGCTCCTTTTAGCAAACAAGAAGAATGTGAGATGGGTGGGAGAGGCAGGCAAGAGTCAGGATGTGTGAGTTTTCTGGCTATTTTTGAGGGACTGAATTTTATTCCATGAGGAATGGGGAGCTATTGGAGAATTTCAACAGGTGCTTGACATGATTCAGATTTAGGATAATGAAGACCACCTTGCTGGTATGTGAAGAGTGGAGAGGAGAATGTGGTAGAGAAGCAGGGACAGTGGCTGGGAAGAAGGGGACAGATTCCAGCATAGCAGCCCTTCTGACTTGTGCTTGGATTGGTTGTGGAGCATGGAAAAATAGAAATGATCAAGATCAGTTTCTAGGCTTTGGGTTTGAATAACTAGGCATTGTCATTTACCAAGATTGAAAACTCCAGGAGAAAAATATGGGTTTAGGAAATGAATACAGTCTGTGTTGTGGGAACTTGCAATGATACTTCAAACATTTTGGGGAAAAAGGAATTAAAAATTTGTTTTACTGTGAAGAAATATGTGCATATGAAGGATCTTTACAAGCTTATAGAAAATAGATTATTAAAAGATGATGAATAAATTTGAAAACTGAACTAAAACAAACATTTTTGTTTCATTTTTCTACATATTTTTGAAATACCCTTACATAACTTGAAATACTTACTAGATATTAAATAGGAAATTACATATGTGATTCTGTTTCTCAAGAGAAGTATCAGAGTTGACAGTGTATTTGGAGGTCATTGGTCATGGGGCTTTGTGGTGTCACCCAGGGAGAACTGAGAGTATCTAGGACACCCACAGTCAACATGATGTTCATACTCCTTGTTTTCCATCAGGCATTGTTGATTTGTTGTACTGTTATTTTTTTAAAAGATTTATTTTTTTATTGGAAAGGCGGGTATACAGAGAGGAGAGAGGAGAGACAGAGAGGAGGATCTTCCGTCCGATGATTCACTCCCCAAGTGAGCGCAACAGCCGATGCTATGCTGATCCGAAGCCAGGAGCCTCTTCTGGGTCTCCCGCGCGGGTGCAGGGTCCCATAGCTTTGGGCCGTCCTTGACTGCTTTCCCAGGCCACAAGCAGGGAGCTAGATGGGAGGTGGAGCTGTCGCGATTAGAACCGGTGCCCATATGGGATCCAGGTGCATTCAAGGCGAGGACTTCAGCTGCTAGGCCAAGCCGTCACTGGTCCCTGTTGTAGTGTTATTTTTTAAAGATTGATTTATTTATATTATTTTAAAGGTATGGACACATACACAGTGGAAAAGAGGGAGAAAGGGAAAACGACAGAATGAGAGAGACAGAGAGAGAGAGGTTTTCCATCCCTGGATAACTTCTGAAATGGCTGCAATACCAGGTCTGGGCCAGACCCAAGCCAGGAGCAAGATATTCCAGTCACATCTTCTATGTGGGTGACAGGGCTGCACGTACTTGAACCATCATCCATTGCTTCTCAGGTGCATTAGCAGGGATCTTGATCAGAACTGGAGCGATCAAGGCTCCAAACAGCATTACCATATGAGATACTGGCATCCTAAGTGGTGGTTTACTTCACAGTGCCGCAACATTAATTGCAATCATGGTCTTCTTTTCACTGGGCCCACAGTGAGTTCTCTATGCATCGACTGCAAAGTAATCAGTCGACTTCAAATTACTGAATAAAAGAAGAAAAGGGGCAAACACATAGGGTAATCTCAAGAGCACTCTAAGTTCTAGCTGAAATGTATTATGAGGATCTTTGCTTAAAGTAATGTTAATAAAAATATTAACAAACATTAGTTAATACTCTCTACAAAGTAATTTGTTCATACATTAAGTAGATTTTGAGTATTATATTCTGGAAAATCTTTAGCTGGCTTCTGTTAAGTGGCTCTTATCTCAGTTCTTAATAAAAGCTGATAATTGCCCCGAAAAAGAATATTCTCTGGTTGGAGAAACAAGTGTGAGGAAGGTAGGTCTGATGCTCATAGACTGCTTGAATTTAGTACTTCCATTTGCATTCTATTGCCATGGTCTAGACTTCTAGCTGCAAAATGCTTTTGTTTGTGCTGAAAAGGCTATGACATATGTCATCAGCTCTCTGAGCACATGAGAAAACAGACCCAGGTCTGCGGGATGCATTATGGTGCAGCGATAGAGATGGGGGATCATGGTCATGGGAAAAAGGGACATTGGAGGCTGCTGAATGGCATTAGGGTCCTGCTGGACCCAGGATCCTGAGAATTTAGGACTTCATTTATCTGACTGCTTCTCTACCTTATTTATAGCAACTTAATCTCTTTGCAGTAGGATGAAATGCTCACTGTCCTGTCAAAATTCCTGTCAGAAAATCACTGGCCAGTTGTGAATGTGTCAAAGTGACAAGTGGGCACGGAGACAGCGATGGCATTTCTAGGTGTTGCGCTGAATAAATGTGGCTGTATGGAGTGGTGGATGGTGCCTGAAAACGAATGCTCATAGGAGGGGAAGATGCAAATGCAGGGTGGAAATGATGGACTTGGCCTTTTTAACTGTGGTTCTTTTCTCTTCCTTCTCACATTCTGTCTCCTGTTTTCTACTTCTGTATTTCTTCTCTGTTCTTCTCTTTGCTTTTCCCCTTTCCTTTTTCTCCCCTCCCCTTTCTCCTTCTCTTTCCTCTTGACTCCTAGATATAGAAAGAGAGATTCATGCAGCCCCTCATGTGAGTGAGAAATTAATTCAGCTGTTCCGGAACAAGAGCGAGTTCACCTTCCTAGCCACTGTCCAGCAGAAGCCTTCGACCTCAGGAGTGATCCTATCTATGCGGGAAGTAGAACACAGGTAAGAAAGTTCTATCATTTGACAATGTGCTAGGGTTCATGGCATTGGCAGGGTGCCCTGGAGTTTAGATTTTAGCTTCTTGGATGCATTTAGCTGGCTGAGGCCTTGCGTCTATTGAACACAGTGATGAATTTACCTGAGTTAACAGTTTACTGTGGAAGTTTTTCTTAATTTTGGTGTTGGTTATGACTGTGATTAGATGAAAAAAATCTCACTTATCTTTACCCTGATAAACATTTCTTAGTGTGAATACTGTATTTCATTAAAATATTTGAAAAAGGAATAAAACAGAAACAATTTACTTTGGACAAAATTGCTTCCTTGTTTGCACTCCAAGGAACATTCAAGAGTGTCTTTCTTGCCCTTTTTCTCATAAAATTTGTTCAGATAAAACCAGATTTTATCCATCATATTTGGATTCTTATTTAAGTTAATTAGTTGCATTTAATAAGTTTCAATGAGCATTTATGGTATGTTTGCATTCTATGGAAACTGTATTTCTTCCTGGGCATTTTAATGTGAACAATACAGATTGTGTATTTCAAATACCACAGGACGAGTATTGTACATTCAGCATTAGAAGTTTGTATTCAAGGAATGAAGGTATGACTGGTCACTTCTAGTCAGCGTATATGATACCTGGAAAGGCTTCAGAAAGGATGTCGGTTGTATATGTGGCAAAGCCACCAGTAAATACTTGACAGGGTGAATGGGAAGAGGTTGCTGTGACTTTATAAGGAAGGAAAGAATGGGAAGTAATTAGAACATAAAGTGGGGGGAAGGAGATGAATGTTTGAGGTGGGCAGTGAGGGGTGGTATTACAGAATCAGGGAGAAGCCAGATGATTTCAAATCTGATGCTGTGCTGAAAAACTTGGACTAAAGTCCCCACAGGCATGGGGTTTAAGTTGAAGGAAGATGGCTCTACTATGGAGTTTATGCATTTTCATATAGGAGTGTAAGTTTGAGAAATAGCAAATTTAGAAAAAAAAAAACAAAGCAGGAGCTCAGTATGGTAATTATTAGGTAACCTAAACAATTTCAATTTTTTAAATACCGGATTCCTTTATGTACTCGATTTAAAGAATTTATGAAGTATCCACTGTGTTCTAGGTGCTATGCCAGGTTTTGTGAAATAAATCAAAGAAACAAAATTGTGTAAAGACAATAGGGCTCGGGGTGGGAAGCAAGGCATGATTATATAAAAAGCTAAAGAATAAAAATGAGCTAATAATAAAGAAATATTAGAATGGTATTACAAGCTAGTGTGTAGCTAATTTCAGAATTATATAAGGGTGTTAAGTTCACTGACTACAGTACATTAGGTTGGTGATTAAGGAAGACCACATAGAGAGATCATTAGAAGAACAGGCAGAATTCCAGCAGGTACCGGAAAGAGAAAAGTATATCAAGCAGGAGAAGTAATGTGCACAGTCACAGAGGTGAAGAAAATCTAGGGAAATACAATTTTACTGTGTGAGGTCAGAGTATAGACCGATTTGAATGGAGCGGAGTGTTATTCTCAGTTGTAAGGATTAGCAGTTCTACTACTTTTTCATTGTGTTTTACTGTGTAGATAAGGATTTTTCCTTTATTAATCGGTGATTGAAGCATTTGTGAAAATTTTGTGGTTAGATTTGTTCTCAGCCTTGAAGGGAGCTGATGAATCCTGATACTTTTGAGAGTATGTCAGCCTGGTGAACTGGCTGTTTTCGGGTTAGCCCAGAGGAGCGAGGTAATGCGTGTGCCTGTGAGAGGTAGAGGGTAATTCCAAAGTGTTCTGTGCACTGAGAAAAGACATAGGTTCTTGGTAAGTCTCAGCTTCACAATCATGGAGAGGTTGTGTCCCCGCCCAGCTACCTCTTGGGCTTGGGTGTAAAGGAAAGCATAGATGGTAATTTATTCTGCAGGATTGTTGTGAAGAGGTAAGAAAATAGTGTTTGTGACTGATCATCTAACAAATGTGTTTCTTCTCCTGGACAAGTCTTAAAAACTATTTGTGTTTTGGAATGAAAAAGAAACTTACTTTATGAAAACTTTAGAAAATTTTTTGTACAACTATACAGAGTCAGCGGAGTCTTCTCTTATATCCCCAGTAGGTTTCCAGAGGAACCTGAGGATCCAATACCGAGTTCCCAGTCATCTGATCATTTTTTGTTAAAGGAAAATCTCAGGTCTTGACTTAAAAAAATAAATACGAAAGAGTAGAAAATAACACCTCATCTGCATTTTATAGTGCCCCCTCCATTTTTATTTAATATAATCAAGACAAAGTAAAGGATTTGCTATAGGTAATATGGGACATGATATCCACTGATAAGCAGATTAAAATCTGATTTTGCATATAGGGAAATCATTATATATTTAGGAACTGGATAATTTATAGAACAGTTGCTTACTTTAAAAGTTCCCATCTGAAATACATGAGGCGTTTCAGTCATTTTCATCTCTTTTTATTATTTATCACAGTGACATTGCTTGGATATTTGACATGAATGTTTTACTAAATATGTAAAATAACTAGGAATTTGGACCCTGCTTTGCTCTGTAACAGAAGATTTGTGTATCTGTTGGGTAGATTGATGCCTGGGTGGTGAAACACCAAGGTTATTTTAGGATTCTTTTTTGTGCTATCCTGACTCTACCACTTGTGATCTAGATGAATTAAATATGTGTTTGCCACAGAGGGAATTGATAGACCCTATTTGATTCTTAGATGTATTTTTATTTTTGTAGCTCAGTGATTTTTAGGGTATTTACAGAGTTGTGAATTAAGTACCATAGCCAATTGCAGAATTTTTGAAATCTTGCACCCGTACTACTGCCACAAATCTTCCTATTAGCCTCCCACCATTAGGACTCCAGTAGTGCACTTTGTGCCTCTATAAATTTTCATATTCTTATGATGTGATAGAGGTGAAATGGCATGGTATGTGGTCCTTTGTCAATGGATGCTCTTGCAGAGAATAATGCTTTTAAGATTTGTTCTTGTAGCTTATATCAGTAGTTTTTTTTTTTTAATTTAAGATTTATTTGTGCTTGAAAGAGTTAAAGAAGAGAGGGAGGAAGGGAGGGAGAGCGAGAGCGAGAGCGAGAGCGAGAGAGAGAGAGATCTTCTGTTGTTGGCTTACTCCCTATTTGGCTGTATTGGGCAGAGCTGAGCTGGTCTGAGGCCAGGAACCAGGAGCTTCATCCAGATGTGCCTTGTAAGTGCAGGAACCCAAGGCCTTAGGCCATCCTCTTCTGTTTTCCCAGATCATAATCGGGGAGCTGGATAGAAACTGGAGCGGCCAGCCTTCAAACTTGTTTTAAAATGGGATGCTAGCTCTGTAGGCAGAGGATTAGCTTGATAGATCACCACAACACTGGCCCCATGTTTGTTTGTTTTTATTGTAAAATAATATTGGGTTTTCCACATATTATACGTTTTCTTTTTCTACCTCTCAGACTTTGATTTGTTTGCTTTTAAAAAGGTTTATCATGAACAATGATAGTATGAGTAGTTATGCATAGATTTTTTTTTTCTGTGTGTGTGGATGTGTTTTTATTTTCTCAGGTATCTACCTAGGCGTGGAAATTGTTGGATTAGGTTAGAACTCCATGTTAAATTATTCCAAGAACTGCTAGAATTTTTCAAAATGGACTGTTTCATATTTCTATCAACAGTGTTTGGTGGTTCCCATTCCTCTACGTTCTTGTTAACCCAAGTTGTTTTCTGTCTTCTTGATGATGCCACCTTGAAGGGCGGGAAGTGGTGCCTCATAGTGATTTTGAGTTGTATTGACTGGTCCCAAATTATGTTGAGTATGTTTTCATGTATTTATTGTTCATTTGTATAACATCACTGGAGGAGTATTTGTCTAGATCATTTGCTCAGTTTTAGTTGGGTTAGTATCTTTTTTTAAAAATAAGATTTATTAATTTGAAAGACAGAGCTGTGGATGGGACACACACACACACACACACACACACACACACACACACGGAGAAAAAGAAAGAGATAAGGAGAGAGATCTGCTTATTCACCTGTTAAGTGGACGCATCAGCTTGGGCTGGGCCAGACCAAAGCTAGGAGCTTTTCTTGAATCTGCTATGTGGGTTCACAGGCCCAAACACTTGGGGAATCTTTTATTGCTTTCCCTGGCTTGTTAACAGGGAGCTGGATCTGAAGTGAAGCAACTAGTTCTTGAAGTGGTACTCATGTGGGATGCTGGGTGGGTTTATCTGGCTTGCCACATTACTGGTCTTGGTAATTTACCATTTAAAGTGGATTTAAATAGTTGCTTGTATCATTCATACAAGTCCCTCATCAGATGGCCTACATTTTCTCTCTACTGTATGAATTGTCTTTTATTTTCTTGGTAGTATCATTTGAAGCAAAGATATTTTAAAAGTTGGTATGAAGTTTCCCTCCATCTTTTTTGTCTTTTAACTTTTTACTTGTTTCTTAATTTAATTATAGAGTCAGAGAACATCTGTCTTGTGAGGTAAGATTATTCTTTTGCACATGGATATCCTATTGTTCTGGTACCATTTTTTGACGACTGTTTTCCCCCAATCAATTTTCTTGACTTAAGGTCAATCAAACATAAAGTGAGGCTATAGTTTTGGGCTCTTATATGTCATTGACTTGTGTTTACAAGCTTATATAAGTACTGTTTTGATTGTTTTGGCTTTGTTGCTTCTGTTTTAAAAAGAGAACATACATGTCCTCTTACTTTTTTCTTCATTTCAAAATTATTTTACATTTTCCAGTTTCCCCAGATTTCTTTGTGTTTTAGGACTTGCTTTTCTATTTTGCCAAAGCTGTATTCTAATTGTATGATAATGCACATGAACTATTTACTTATGTCTTTAGTTTTTTCAGTGCTTTTTAACTTTTCAGATTATACTTTTTTGTGACATCTATGAATTTATTCCTATATACTTTATTCCTTTTGATGTTATTATAAATGAAATTATTTTCTTAATTTTTTTCCCGCTCATCGCTGCTTTAATAGA